GACAAAAACAACCACCTAACTAATGAAGAGCAACAAACAAAGAACAGTACAGCACAAAAAAAGGGCCCTTGGTCCACTAAGCCTGTCCTGAAACATGACACCGTTCTAAATAAAAAAACATTTTGCGTCTACACGGTCCATGTTCCTCTATTCCCTGCCTATTCATGTATCTGTCAAGATGCTTCTTAAAAATTGCTATTGTATCTGCTTCTACCACCTCCTCTGGCAGTGCATTCCAGGCACTTGCTCTGGCAACACTAGACACCACCCTCTCTCTAAAAGACCTGCCTCTCACATCACCTGTAAACTTAACCCCTTTTAATTTAAACCCAAGTCCCCTAATAATTAACATTTCTACCCCGAGAAAAAGACTCTGACTATCCATTCTATCCATGTGTCTCATAATTTTGTAAGCCGTTATGAGGTCAACCCTTCAGCTTCTGATGTTCAAGTGAAAACAAACAAAGTTTGTCCAATCTTTTCTCATAGCTATTATCCTCCAAACCAGGCAACACTCTGGTAAACCTTTCCTGTACCCTCTCCAAAGCCTCCACATTCTTCTGGTAGTGTGGTGATCAGAACTGTATACAATATTCAAACGTGGCCTTACTAAAGTTCTATACAATTGCAACATGACTTGCCAGTTTTAACACTCTATACCCCAACCAATGAAGGCAAGCATGCCATTAGCATTCTTGACCACCATATCCACTGTGTTGCCACTTTTAAAGAACTGTGGACCTGCACACCTAGATTCCTCTGCATGTTAATGCTTATGTGTTCTCCCATTTACTGAATACTTCCTTCCTGCATTAGACCTTTCAAAATGTACCACCTCACATTTGTCCAGATTAAATTCCTTCTGCTGTTTCTCTGTCCAACTCTCCAGCATATCTATATCCTGCTGTATCCTCTGGCAATGCTCCTCACTATCTGCAGCTCCCCAACCTTTGTGTTATCTACAAACTTATTAATCAGACCACCTACATTCCTTTCTGAATCATTTATATGTATAACAAACTACAGGGATCCCAGCACTGCTTACTGTGAAACAACACTGGTCACAGATTTCCAGTCAGAAAAATGCACTTCCACCTCTACTCTCTGTCTTCTAGACCAAGTCAGTCTCTTACCAGCTCACTGTGGATCCCATGTGAGTTCACCTTCTGTATCAGCCTGCCACGAGGGACCTTGTTAAAGGCCTTGCTAAAGTTCATGTAGACAACATCCACTGTCCTGCCCTCAATCATCTTTGTCATTTCCTCAATAAACTCAATCAAAATCGTGAGACACGACCTTCCCCGAACAAAGCTATTCTGCCTGTTGCTAATAAGTCTATATTTTTCCAAATGTGAATAAATCCTGTCCCTAAGAATCTACTCCATAATTTCCCTACCACTGATGTAAGACTTACCGGCCTGAAATTTCCCAGATTGCCCTTCTTAAACAAATGAACAACATTGGCTATTACACAATCCTGTGGGACCTTGCCTTTGACGAAAGAGGATAAAAAAGATTTTGCAAAAAGCCCCAGCAATTTCCCCTTCTCCTCCTTCAATATTCTGGCATAGTTTCCATCAGGTCCTCGGGATTTGTCTGCCTAAGTGTTTTTCAAAACACCAACCCACTTTTTTTAATATCAACATGTCCTAGAATATCAACATAACCCTCTCTGGACTCACCATCCACCATGTCCTTGTCATGTGTGAATACCGATGCAAAGTATTTGTTAAGGACCTCACCCACATCCTTTGGCTCCACACATAAATTCTATCCTTTGTCCTACCCTTTCCCTAGAGTGCATCCTGCTCCTTATACAGATATAAAAAACCTTTGGGACTTTTCTTAATCCTGTTAACGAATGTCATTTCATGCCCCCTTTAGCCCTCCTAATGCCTTGTTTAACTTCTCTCCTGTTTTCTTTATATTCCTTAAGAGCTCTGTCTGTCTTCAGTTTCCTAAACCTCTTGTATGTTTCCTTTTTCTTTCTGATTAAGTTCACAATTTCATTTGTCATCCAAGGTTCCCAAATATTGCCATCCTTATCCTTCACTTTCATAGGAACATGCTGGCTGTGAACTCAAATCAACTAGCCTTTAGAAGATTTCCACATCCCAGATGTGGATTTACCTTCAAATAGCCACCCCCAGTCTACATTCCCCAGTTCCTGCCTAATATTGTGGTAATTAGCCTTCCCCCAGTTTAGTAATTTTGCCCAAGGATGACTCTTATCCTCATCCATAATTAACTTAAAACTTATGGGATTATGGTCACTGTTCCTGAAATGCTCCCCCACTGAAACTTCGATCATCTAGCCAGGCTCATTCCCCAATACCCCTTATCTAATTGGACTATTTACATGTTGCTTAAAGAAATCCTCCTGGGTGCACCTAACAAATTCTCGCCATCTAGGTCCCTGGCCTGAACGGAGTCCCAGTCAACAAATGGGAAATTCAAATGCAACAAGATCTGGACAATATCCAGGCTTGGGCTGACAATTGGCAAGTAACATTTGCACCACACAAATGCCAGGCTTCAACTGGGACTCCAGCTCAGCAACTTCGAGACAAGGAACAGAAGCTTTCGGTTTTTGATCATAGTGTGGTTGTGGGTGTAATAATGGTCAGGACCACCCGTCAGCCAGGACCAATAAACAGGAAAGCCCACTGTCTTTTATGCCTTTCAAGCATTTAATTAGTCACCTGAGGGCTTGGTGCCTGAATCACTTCTCGGGTCCTGCACCAGATGAAGCATTTGGTCACTCAGAGACTGGCAGTCACCGGGAGCCCCTTCAGAGGTTGTGGTTGCTGGTCTAGAATTTCCAGGAGCAGCAAGCACAAGAGGTAAGTCTTCCAGAAGTGTTGGGGTGGGGGGGCACAGAAATCAATGAGTGGGATTTGTGGATTGGGAGGCAATGTTGGTAGGGGGTGGGAGAGGGAATTTGAAGCCAGGACAAAGGAGTGGCTTTCAATGCCACCCTCCTGGACTCTCCTTCCATCTATTTCCTCTATCATCCTTAGATTGGAATAGCCTGAAAAGCCCTAGGCCCACGACCCATCCCCACAATGCAAAAGACAGGCGACTGCATTGTACTGGTTGGGAAAGCTGCTGGTGTATTTGTATATTGGGAATGGAATATTGATTTATTCAAACAGTAAATTTTTCCAGCTTTTATTCAAAACTACTGTTTGAATTTGATACGTGGTAAAACAGTGATATTCACCTGCTGTCCTCTACCATCATGATTTGACTTTTTGTTTGCTCCTCCCTCTCTCACCTGGAAAGCTCCAGACAGACCTGCGTATCCCTTTTGAATGGCATGTCCCCTGCCTATAACTGATCAAATACCTATAAGCCCACAGCCTCCTGCTCCAAACTCATATCTGTGTGGAGGGAGGTGCATTAAATTGCAATCTTGGCCTTCTTTATCTAAGTCGCTATATGATGCATCCATAATGATTCCCTCAAACATCTTATCCAACATTGACTTCTTTTTATTTCAAAAATAAACTGTTGTCATAAAAATATCTTGACACACATATATAGTCCCTAAAGCAGTTCAGTTCTGTACAGTAGCATATAAAGAAACAAATAAACATTGGAGATAGTAAGAACTGCAGATGCTGGAGTCAGAGATACAAAGTGTGGGGCTGGAGGAACACAGCAGGCCAGGCCGCATCAGAGGAACTGGAAAGCTGTCGCTTTGGGTCGGGACCCTTCTTCAGAAATGGAGAAGAAGAATTTCTGAAGAAGGGCCCCGACCCGAAGCGTTGGCTTTCCTGTTCCTCTGGTGCTGCCTAAACAAACATTGGAGTTTGACTCTATCCAACAAACAAACCACAGGCATTTCTTACTTGAACAATACTATATTTACATATATTTGAGGCACTGGGAGAGGCTGATAACCGAATGGACCCTCATTTAATTTCGGCAGAAAAAGCTTAGACCATGGTCATTCCCCACTGTGCCTTGGTAGCAGCTGCCCAAGCTTTACTGCGTCCCTCAGCATGTAGTCCTGGACCTAGGAATGGGCCAGTCTGCAACACTCAGTCAGGGTTAGCTGCTTGGTCTGGAAGACCAACAAGTTTCGGGCAGAGCAAAGAGCATCTTTCACCAAATTGATTATCCTCCAGATGCTTTTGATGTTTGTCGCGGTGTGCATCCCGGGGAACAGACCATAAAGCACAGAGTCCTGTGTCACAGAGCTGCTCGGGACAAAAACCACTACATCCCTCTCCAGACTTCCTTTGCAAAGGCACATTCCAGCAGGAGATGTGTGACAGTCTGTACCCCACCCGTAGCCACTTCGAGGGCAGCGTGCCGTGGCGCAGATTGTCTGGGCGTACAAGAAGGACCTCATAGGTAGTGTCCTTCTCACTACCAGCCATGTGATGTCTTGATGCTTGTTAGAAAGTTCTGCCAAATCCAATACTGATGTCAAGCTAATGTGGTCTGTAGTTAGCCAGGTCTGCCCTGTTTCCTATGTAAAAGACTGGAACTATGTTAGCCACTCTCTGGTGTAAGGGAACAGCTTTCATACTCCAATATACTATTAAATATACAGCTACAGACTCACATTGAACCTGCCCCAAATACATGTCTACTTTCTAATTCTTTCTGGGCTTTATCTCACCCTCCGTCAACAATAAGCACTAACATTTTGACATGCTAATATTCAGCACACTTCCAGTGTTCAAATCAAAATTTTGAACTTTGTTTCATAACCTTGTATTTTGTCTTTTTTTTGAGTAATTCTCACTTCTACAAAAAGCGAGTAACTTTGGATGCAGGATATCTGAAAGAGAAAACAGAAAATGTGGGAACACACAACAAATGAGGCAGCAGATTCAGACTGCAGTAGGTTAAATCTGAGGCCTTTTTTTTGCCAGGTAAATGTAGACATATTCAAATTAAAAAGGCCTGAGATGTATCAAGCCCGGATATATCCATAACATTGGACAGATTGTTAACAGGATCTTTGTTCATATTTTTATTTACAGTAGACTCAGGAGCAGCTGTTAAGCAGGACACCGGGACTTTCACATCAGAAGCAACAATGGAGAAAAATGCTAATGCTAATGCAGAGGAAAAAGAACTTGAAAAGTCTACCAAGACAGTTTCTAAGTCCAGGTTTTCCATGTCTTTTTCTCGGTCTGTACCAGGGCGTACTAATGACCCTTCTACAGGGCCAATGTCAGAAACGGCAAAGCTCCAAACCAATCAAGAGAGTGTCTCAGTGAACGCAGCATCAGTTGATAAAGTGGATCTTCAAGAATCCTCCTCACAAAAGCAACTGCAGCAGCCTGCAACTGAATCATCAGATGCACCAGAACACGCTGTGAATGAAACCAAGCAAAAAGAAGTAAGCTTTTTTGAAAAACTGTTCAAACAAGGCGATAAGGGCAAACAGCAAAATGAGAATCAGGGAAATCTGAAGACTGCTGGAAGTCAGCCAGTTGCTGCCAATAGTGAAGCTACTGAACTTATCCACAGACTGGATAACGTGCAGCATTATTTGGTGAGTACTACCTACTTCCTTTCAGTTAAATCAACATCTACAACTGGAATTGCTGAGTTTAAAATTGTTGAAATATTGTTTTGTTTGCAGACTTTTATTTTTAAAAGTAGTGGAATTAAAATGTACGGGATAGAAAGGGTCCGTGTTTGGGTGGGCACTTAATAAAATTTCTGCTCCTCAGTGTAGAAAGTCAGGAAGCCCTGATATTAGGTGTTGGGTCTCCAGAACATTGAGTCAATGTGGTACAAGCAGTAACCTGGTATGGGAAAATGAAGATTAAAGAGTTGATAGCATGACAGAGAGCCTCAGGTTAGTGGAGATTCAGGGAGAAGAGGCTGAGGAAAAGGATTGAAGAATTATGGCTAGGAGATAGGAGGATTTAAACAGAAATCAGAGGTCAAAGGGACAGTGGAGAGAAGCAGACATTTAGAGGTGTGCAAGCTGCAGCCCACTTTTATTAAATGTGGCGTCAAGAGGAACACATTTGCTAACCAATATATCACAGGGCAAAAAGAATCCTCCAATAGGTATTAGGACCTTTATTGGATTATGAAAGGAGCTTGTATATGTCAGCAGTATGTGACAATTGTGTTTCCTTTTCCGATATGGCAGTAATTGTAATTCTACCCAAATTATGCATTTGCTTCCTGATGTCATATTGAAGACAGACCAGAGGACTTAGTAACAGAATAGCTGTCATTACATGGCAGCATTTATAGAGCATTATTTTTGTCATCTTAGAAGGTACATTTTCTCCAAGATTCAGTAATCAAGATCCCAGTCTCTGTTATCTTTGTCAAAGGATTTTCTCATGGTAGAGTTATGGTACCCGTGGATCACTGGACTAGTAGTTCAGGATCACAGGCAAATGTTCTGTGGAGTTGAATTGAAATCCTACAATTGCAGCTGTTGAAAAATAAATTCAGTTAATAAGTCAGAAATTAGAAAATGGGGGGGCAATCTATAGGGTCTGAACGAAGTGGTCTATAGCAAGACATGTGGCAGAAATGGACAAAAAGTCCAGTGATTCTCATCTTGACACTGAGATCACCTCTTTCCATCTTTAAGATATCTTTAATGAACCTGTTCAGGCATAATAGGGCACACCTCTGGTGCAGATGGGACTTGAACCTAGACCTTCTGTCCCAGAGATAGGTGCACACAAACTCCTATCCACAAGATCTGTTTGCTTCATCTTTCAGCCTTGTCCCAAGCAGCATGGTGAGATTCTCACCAGGCAGCCCAAGTTAGCAATTGGCGAGGTTATCTCTTGTTAAACACTTTGTTGATGCATAAAGCACCTCATTAACGTTGAGCCTCCCATCTTATCAAGCTTGCCAAACAAGTTAGATGTCAGGAAAACTCAACAAGGAAACCAGAGCAAGCACCTGCAACTTGCTCTGGTTGACCTCCATGTTGAAAACAGTTCACCAACATCTCAGAGTATGCTCCATGCGCATTGGCCATGTGCACTTCGCATCCATTGGCATGTGACATGTACCAACCACTAAGAACCCTCCTGGCTCATCTCCAATTCACTTGCAGGATGGTTCTGCACTTCATTGCTGCACCTCAGGCTGCACTGGCAGCTTTCATTGTGAAGCTGCAAGAAGGACATTTTTGTGCTCAGGAAATACACTGGACCAGGTTGCTACTGTGGGTTCCTCACTGGTAACCTAGTGCTCACTCACTCCGAACCTGCTTGAATGCTCACAGCATTTCTGCCTTGCATTGATTTGCCTTGCTTTTTTACACTTTGCCCCCTCAGACTGGGATACTGTTACCTTGCTATGCCACTTAGTGCAGGCACAAGACCATAAGATGTAGGAGCAGAAGTAGGCCATTCAGCCTATTGTGTCTGTTCCACCATTCAGTGAGATCATGACTGATCTGATAAATCTGAAATGCAGACATTCTTTCTCTCTACTTTGAATTTCTCTGACTTGCTGCAATTTCTTCCCTAATGACAGTAAGTTTTGTAATACTGAGGTAAAGAGTTCTAACTCAGTTATCCAATGCAAATCTTCAAGAAATCTTCAACTCACTCCCTGCCTTCCGCAGCCTAACTACCCCCTTTCTGCGCCCTCACTCCTCCCCAAATGATGTTCTCACTCCCCCATCCTATGCCCTCACTCCCACCATCCCATGTCCTCACTTCCACCATCCCATGTTCTCACTCCACCCCCTCCCGCATGATCACTCCCTTCTTCTCTCATCCCCATTCCCCTCTTCCCTTGTCCACCATCTCCCTTCCATGTCCTTACACCCCTTCAACCTCCTTAGTCCCCCTTCTGCGTCATCACTTCCCTCCCTCACTGTTCCTGCTGAATCCTGTTTCAATGCTGTGCTTCTCCTCTGTACATGCACAGTGCAGTTATTGAGCTCTTACATGATGATGTGACAGCTTTGGAACTGTGTGTGTCAACAGACACTGCCATTTTCAAAACATCCCTAACTCAACAGCTATATTCCTGCTTTGTTGAACCATGTGTGAGGATACCATCAATGTGGCATTTTATTCCTTCATTTCCTTGGACTAGATTGGATACAGGCCTCTAGAATATTTCAGGTGCTCATATTATTCCAAATTAAATTATTCCAGATTAAAACAGTATCAACCAAAGCGCATCATAAAGGTAGTTAATATTCTTGATTTCTGGTACTTGTCAGAAAATTCACTGTTCGCGTCTATTTTATTGAATATTGTACACTTGGCCAATTTTGCTAAGTTATCAGCAGCTTGTTACTTTGGATGAATTTCTGTCTGTGTAGCCCGGTTAATATGGGTAACGTCTCTACACATGTGACCTTCTGATTTGGTTTAGGACCAGTGACTGTACCTGATCAAAAATTAGTACGCCACCTTTTGCTATATTTTTTCAAGTTCAGTCTTCACTTTATCCATTGTAATACTTTTCTTGGTGTAAAGAAGTTAAATTGGTCCTGTGTTTGGCTGCAATGTTATGTAGTATTCATCTTTCAGCTTACTCAGGCCTGAAAATAATTTAGGAATTTTTTTTTTCTAATTCCTGTATTACTATCTTTCTCAGCAACTTTGACTAATCTCATGATTAACTGTAACCTGGGGAATGCTGATCTGCTAAGAAAGTGTGTTTATTAATTCTTCAAGGTATGGCGTGTTCTGTCTCTGCCTTTTTGTTTTAATCTTGTCATGATCAGAGCTTTGACCTTGAAACCTGTTCCTCTTAGACCTTGTAAACTAGGGTTGTCTCATTCAGCTTCCTCTGGTTGGACAATCATCTCACTCATCTGCTTCGTTCCTGTTGCATCTGAAGCAGCTGAAAATGGCAGTTTGTGCACTTTTAGTATTTTTAGCGCACTTTTGCTTTGCTGAACTTTTTGATTTCAGGCCTCCATGCTACTGATTTGTTTGACTTCTTCAAAAGAGCCATGACCTCACCTCTTACAATTCCCCCAGTCAGCTCCCAGACCTCAAACTGCCTTCAGGACTATACCATCGCCATGAATGTTAACTCCTCTTTGGACTTTAAAAGATCTGACCATGCCTCATCATCACATGAACTATATGGTTGTATATTAATTCATCCCTTAAATCACTGTGTGAACAATTGCAAGTTAACATTTAGAAGTTGTTAATGAAACAATCAATGGATATCCCAGGGTTTTCCTTCCATTTGATATATCAAGCTGTTCAAATGCTGAATTATGTATCAAAGTCTTTCAGGAATTTGCCATAAGAAGCTGAAACCTCATCCATCACTTGTCTGGTCAACACAATTTCTGTGATGGTTCTGATTGCATAACTGACCTGATTGCAGTGGTCTCTTCTATGCAACCCTGGCAAAGCATTTTCACTGATTGTCCTGCCTCCTGCTGCAGTCTTATAATATTGGAAACATGTCTGGAAGTGATAGAGGGGTTTCCATCCTTGTGCTTGTTCAGAGCTCTGCCGCTAATCTGGGTCTCTTACTGCACTTCCATGATATCTTTGTTCAGCTCTCTTTCCCTCTCTCTATTATTTCAATACTGCGTCATGATCTCAAAGGTTCGTGATGGTAACCATTATTCCATGTTGAATCATAGAATCCCTACAGTGGAAGCAGGCCATTCAGCCCTTTGAGTCCACACTGACCATCTGAAGAGCATCCTACTCAGACCCACACCCCTATACTATCCCTGTACCATTTCCCATGGCCATCCCACCTAGCCTGCACATCCCTGGACACTGTGGCAATTTAGCATGGTAAATCCACCTAACCTGCACGTCTTTGGACATAACCTCAGTGAAAAACGTAAATCTCAAATAAATTTTATAATAAGCTCAACTCTGATGTGCCTTATAGGTATTTGGTTATAAGACAATAGGCTCAGACCGTTTTTCTGAAGAAGGGTCTAGGCCCAAAACGTCAGCTTTCCTGCTCCTCTGATGCTGCTTGGCCTGCTGTGTTTATCCAGCTCTACACCTTGTTATCTCAGGCTCATACCGTATGTTCAGTACATAGAGTAATATCAGTGCCATTGGTACTGAACAAACCGTAACCCAGCGCAATGTGTCATTGTACATCAATTTGGTATGTCACATATTTGGATGTGCCACATTACTTAGCCATCTAATTTAATCCCACTCTCATTCTTGCTTTCTATTTGTTAATATTCTTCCCTATTTACGTCGCCTATAAAATAACTTATTCTGCTTCAGCAACTGTTGGTGATTAAAAGATCCAACTTATAAGACAATTTTCTTCTGAAGAAATTTTCTCTTATTTTAAGTCTTTTGGTAATTAATTACAAATATCTAATGTTGAAAACCAAAAGTATTAGCTAAAAAAATTCTTGAAGCACTGTCAAAACCTCACTCTCAAAATGGAATATTCTTATAAACGGGCAAAGATTATGTGCGGTAGCATCAATTCCAAAGGAGGGATAGGACTAAAATAAAAACAAAGCACAGAAGATGCTCGAGATCTGAAATAAAAACTTAAAATTCTGGTGAAACTCAGGAAAGCTGGCAGCGTCTA